GCCCAGATGGGGACACTGAGGCCCTGCAGCGGCCGAGCGCCCCCCAGGCCCGGCAGTGAGTCAGCTAGAACTCCGGACTCTCGATGCAAACTCGCCTCGGCCCCACCGCGGCGCTCCTAGCCGCCTCCGAATCCGCCCCACAGAGTCCTCAGGGCGCATGGCAGCTGGGGATGCGGGACTGAGACGGCCGCCCACACTGACCCCGGCGGGTGCTCCTGCGCTAGTTCTCAGCCTCCTGGGCAGACGGTCCCTCCCGGGCAGCCGACTAGGTACCAGGCCAGGCTAAAGCTGCAGTCACACACCAGGTGGGCATCAGGACGCCCAGGCCTAGAGACCCAGTGGACCCAGTACTGCTCAAGGTCACCTGGCAGAGCACACCAGAGGGGCCCAGGGGTGACAAAAAGCCTCCCTCCCAGTCATAGGGTATGAACCGTGTGTGGGGAGGCCAGGGGTGCTGCAGAGTGGGTCCCCTGCTGTGCTCAGGACTACCGGGGCTGGGCTGTCCCCGTGGGCTTCTGTGACTGATTGACCACCCCCAGGGAGTCCCCTCAGCCCTTGGACACTACCAGAATCTCCTGTACTGGTCACCTCCCCTCTCCATTTCCAATTCATAACATGAGGCTAAGGCCCGGCCCGCTGCCCCACGTCCTGTCTGTGACGACGTCACGGCTCTCGGCGGGGAGGGCTGGGCCGCTGGCCCGAGCAACTCCAGGCTCTGCCCTGCAGCGCACGTGCGTGGAGGCGTGGGCAATGTGCCCAGGGCACCCCGGGCTTGCCAAGGACTCACCTGTGAGGGCATCGTCACCCCCTGGACACTGGTAGCGACTGCTCTCCTGGGCGGTGAAGGCTGCCCCTGCCTCCCCTGTGCTGGGGCTGTGGGTCAGAGACGGGTGTGCGTGAGTCCCTGTGGGCCCTCGGCCACCCTGATATTCCAGGCAGGCAGGAGCCTGAGGTCCAGCCCTGGAAGCCTCTGTGTTGGTTGGACCTTTACTTTTCCTCAAGAGAAAGTGGGGCAGCTGGCTCTGGCCCTGGGCTCCTGAGACGGGGCGTGGGAGGCTGCGGTGAGCAGGGCTGAAGCTCCCTCCGCAAAGCCCAGGTGCTGAAGCCTAGGTGCTGAGCGAGGCCCGCACAGTGCGGGGAGGCCTAGCCGCTGCGGGCATCTGGACAGTCGGGGAGGGCTAGGTGCTGTGGGCGTCTGGGTTGGGCCTTCCCAGGAGCAGTGCTGCAGGGGGAGGCCCGGGCTACAGTGGCCCCAGCACTGGCTCCTCTTCCCTCCTGTAGCACTGCGCGGTGCCAGGGACAGGAGCCCCAGAAGGCCCTGGGGTGGTCTGGGAGCATCTGGGAAGCCTGTCACCTAGAACAGGGTCTTTAGTCTCCTGGCCCAGACAAGCAGGGCGGCCCCTGCATGGCCTCGGGCCTGAGAGCTGAGGGGAGCCCTGCCCCTCCTCACCCTGCACATCCAGCCCACCTATCCAGAGGCCATGCAGGAGGCTGCCTCTCCACCGCCTCTCTGGCCCTGACCCTGGCCAAAGCCCGCCTGCATTTTCTTCTCATATGGACCTGTGTGTGGACGCCCCAAAGGCCCTGCTGGGGCTGCAGGGTTCTGGGTCGGACTGTGGAGAGGGCAGATGGGGCCTCTCCTCTCTAGGTCCCAGGTGGAGTGGCATTGTTGCCCATCTGCCCACGCCCAACCCACTAAGCCAGCCTGAGCCCCCTGAAGCCAGCCCACTGGGTGGGTCCCCCCTCCCCAGCCCTGCCCAGTGTCCCCACCTCTGGTTCTGGCTGCAGGTTTGGATCTGGCAGGGTTCACCCTAAGCTCAGGGACCCCAGAGAAGACTGCTGCCCTAGGGACACGCTGGTCCCCTCCTGGCAGGCCTGGCAAGCCGAGCTTTGCACCCGGGGCTTCTCAGGGATGCCAGGAGAAAGCACTAGCTGCATTTGGCTTCTCCTGGGGGTCACACCGGTACTGGGCAGCCAGGGTGAAGCAGACTGGAATCAGACAGGCTGCCCCCAGTGGCTGCTTGGCCAGGCCTCAGCACCCCCTCTGTGCTGTGGAGAGCCACAGTGTTGGAGAGAGAAGTGCAGGGGCCATGGCCCAAGCTCAGCCACAGGTGCCACACTGCGGAGCCAGCTCTCCCACTCCCTGCCCCTCCAAGCCCACTGGCCATACCTGCTGCTGCCCGGGCCTAGGTGTGGCCAGGCCACCTGCACCATCTCCTTGGGCTGGGGACGGACCCTGCCCCTCGCTGGGGCTTCGGGCCCACTGGCTTCCCCCGGCACCTCTCGGGGCCCGCCCGCCCTCTCTCTTCACCGGAGCCTCCATCTCGGCCTTGCGTAGAGGCCAGCTCGGAGCAAGGAGGCTCCTCCCGGGCGGGGAAGGGCGGCTTTTTATGCTCCATCCCTTGAAAATCGGGATTGGGATGGGCTCTTCCCGGCCGGACTTCCTGTGTGTGTTCTCCGCTGATAACGGGACCCGTCAGCCAACAAACAGGAGGCCATGGGTGGAGGGTGGGGGCCACAGGGTGAGGGGGGCCTGGCTGAGCTGCCAGGGGTGGGGGAGCTGTCCCCTGGGGCTTCTGAGTCTGCCCTGAAGCAGTCAGAGGCCAGGCCCAGCTGGCGACCTAGGGGACGGTGTGGGACAGAGGCCATGTAGCCAGGGCCTTCGCAGTGCCGTGGGCCACAGGACCTTGGACCTCCCCCATGACCCCCCCCAGGTGTGTGTCATGGCCACGCTGGGCCTTGACCGTTGGAGGGAGGGTACTCGCTGGAACGGAGCTGGAACGGAGCTGGGCTCAGGTCCGGGGCGGGTGTGGGGGTGGCAGGAGGGGTACTCAGAGCCTGGCCTTGAGGACTCAGAGCTGTCTGCCCAGGAGAGGGCTGCCCTTGGGGAGAGGTCCCACTCCAGAGATGCGTGGGCAGGAGCTGAAGGCCTTGGGCCCCACTGAATGGCTGGTGACACCAGAACCTGGGGGTGAAATGTGCTCTCCACCCTCAGCTCCGTCCCGGCCCCTTCCCTCGGCCTGTCCCTGGGTCCCAGCCCCCAGGAGAGGCTTCAGCTTCCCGTTTAGGTGGGAGCCAGCCATGGTAGCTAGGGTGGGCAGGGGGTGCTGGAACAGCGGGGCCGGGGCAGCCGTAGGCCCTGACCCGTGCAGAAGGGGACCCTGGCTCTTCCCCTTCCAGAGCCTTGCGGCTGGCAGCCCCATCCCGGAGGGGCCTCTGCCCG